TTAGCCACACTCCCAGCCTGAAAAGAGTGACCCCTTCTCCTTCACCCACTGCTCTTCCTGACTCCTCCAGCCAGCAGGCTCACGCCACTCACCACTGCCAATGCCTCCTGCCTGCTCCCCTGAGGCTGCAGGTGATACTCCAACCTTCCCATTCTACCCCTGCAGCCCTCCTCCAGCGAGAGGGGCCAGGCCCTCCCTGCAAAGTGTCTCCTCCACAGGAGGTGTGTGCAGATGCTGGGCTGCACTGGGCACCAGCATTGCTAAGGGAAGCCTTGCTTGGGTCTTTTCCTGTAGATGGGTGAGACGGACCGGGCCGTGTCTAGGCACAGCTGAGGGCGTCCGCTCAGGGCGAATTGCTCAAATCCGGGGCTCCTTACAGCCCCCAGACTGGTGACCTCTCCTAACAGGCCACAAACCAGTCCCACAGAGCGCTTCAGCTGCCTGCCTGAAGCCTCCCGAGCAAAACCCCTCCGACACCCCAGCAATATCCGTGCCCCAGATGGCCCCGGGCCTCATATACCAGTTGGGGGTCTTAGAACCCAATCCCACCTACCCCGAACAAGTCCTGTCCGGTTCCAAGAACCCAGCCACAGATCCCTGGTCAATTTACCCTCTGGACCTTACCCACAAATCATGCTGGGCCAATCCTTTAGCATCTAACAACTAAAGGTTTATTATTACAATAAAGAAAAGCATGAGAGTAAGGTTGTTAAAGGATAGTATATTACATGCACCGAATCTCCCAGTTCTCGATGCAGGCTCTAGCAGAGATGTTACAGCTGCTGGCTTAAAAGTCCTTGTTGCGCATCCTAGGATCAGGATGGGTCCACAGTTCTTCCTGGCTCTTTGATCCCTGCAATGCTGCCTCTGGGATGAAGGGCTGAGCTGAGTACCAAGATGGACTCGACCACATGGCATCTTTATCCCTCCTTCCTGGTCTCTTCTTGGCTGCAGCAGGTCCCCTGGCCAGCGGCCTATCCCTGTGTTCCCTGCTGGCAGCCCTCAGGTGTCAGCCCTCATTCTGTGTGTCCTTGGCCCATTGAGTGCCATTGTCCCACAGGGCCTCGCTAATTAGCATGTCCATAGGCCAGGCTCTGCCCAATGCTAAACCACATGCAGAGAAATATTCAGTATCTACACAGATTACAGATTCCTAACTCCACACACAGACATTATACAGTCACATAACTAGCGTACATAGGATTAGCAGACAGTGAGCTTCTATTCAACACCCCACATGGCCCCTTTTATACCATTTTTGGGGCCAACACCCCCACCCATGGGTGCAGCAGTGATCTGGCTGCTTCCCTCAAATTCAGTAACGTGACAATGGGTGATCAAAGTTTATTGACCAGCCTTAAAATTAGACTTTCCCCATATGGGAAAAAACACAAAAACCAGTCCAGAAACAACTGTCTTCCAGCCCTCCACAGATCCAGTAGTTCAGGCATGTAGCTAAAATACCAGCTTGTACCCAGCACTGCCATTAGCTAAGTGTTCAAAAATATGGGTCAAGGCCCAAAAAGCTTTATAATCATGTTGTGTTGTTGACTTTAAAAGTACATTTTTGTATTCTTTTGAAACTGTCTTGTGGTTTCTGAGCCTTTAGATGACTCCCTTCATGTTAGCCAGGTTTTCTCTCTCTTTTTTTTTAAATGAAAGTGGAGATTCCCAAGATTCTCTCAATCACTTCACTCTGTCACTTGGGGCTTTAAGAAAAGCCCAGCTATCACAAGACTCACAAAGTTGCGAGACTTGGCAGCACTGTGTAGTTTCTTGGCTTAATTCTTGTACCAGGAGTCCATTTATTGATGGAGGGCATAATTCCATAGTCTTTTGGCCTCCCTGGCCTCAATCAGTAGTCAGTCCTTTTTCTTCACCAGGGCTCATTGGTTCCTTACCCTGATAATACAGGATTGAAGGGGACTGGAGTCTTCCTTTTTTCCTTCCCTTGTGAAAGCCACCATCTTAAGGCCCCAGGACAAAATTAAAATTGGAAAAGATACATAGAAGGGCAGCAAAAATGATCGGGGTATGAAACAGCTTCCACCTGATTAAAAAGACTGAAAGACTGTTCAGTTTGGAAAACACATTTAACCAGAGGGGATAGGACAGAAGCCTATCAAATCATGAATGGTCAGGAGAAAGTGAATAGGAAGTGACATTTACTCCTTCAAACAACACAAGAACCATGGGTGAAATTAATAGGTAGCAGATATAAAAAACAAACAAAAGTACTTTTTACATCATGCATAGTCAACCCATGGAATTCATTGCCAGCGGAGGTTGTGAGGGCTAAAACTAGAACTCTTCAAAAATAATTAGATAAGTTCAATGAGAATAGGTCCAACACTGGCTATTAGCATTCCCATGCTGTGAGCATCCCTGAGCCTCTGACTGCCAGAAGCTCAGAGTGAGTGGATGGCAGGGGATGGATCACTTCATTTCCTCCTCTGAAGCACCTGCCACTGCACTGCCAGAAGACACGACAAAAAGCCTCATAACCCAGGGAGAGCTTTCTTATAGTCTATGTGCTTAATATTGCCACTGAGCAGCCACGCCCCTGCCTATGGTATATTGCCTCTAGTCTTCCTTTTTTGCTCTCACTCCTTTTACGGTCGTTTTTATGACCTGCCTCCCACAGACTGCAGCCCCGTTTCTGAGCTCAGCGTCTCTCACTCTTCTGACAGACAGAAGGTGCCATCTGGGGAAGTGGCTAGTTCTGCAGGTGCCTCCTATATAGTTCTAGATTGATGGGCTGGATGTCTGCCCTTCTTTTGAACCACGCCTCTGATCATTCTCACCTACAGGGATTATCATGTCTGGAACGAAGTTTGGTTCATTCGAAGAGATTTGGGAACATCATACAGTGGATGGCAGGTTCTAGATTCAACTCCGCAAGAGCAAAGCAAAGGTAACAGATAAAGTTCTTTTTATGAGATCATGTCCCTTTGCTGAGACTTCAAGTGCCTAAAACGCTTGCTGCTTTTTCTTCGTGCCGTAGGGATATTTCAGTGTGGTCCTGCTTCAGTCAGAGCCATCAAAGAAGGTGATGTAGACTTGGATTATGACACTCTATTTGTGTTTACGGAGGTGAACGCCGACTGCAACCAATGGATTATCTACAAAGATGGAACTAGGAAAAAAGCGTATTGTGACACTGAGAGAATTGGCAAAGCCATCAGCACTAAAGCTGTGGGCAGTAATTCTCGTGTGGACGTGACTAACAATTATAAATATCCAGAAGGTAAAAGAAAACTAACCCTTTTAGTTTCCTCTTGGGGTTCTCAGCATCGGAGGGTTAGGACTGATTCCATATTTTGGTTTCATCACTTCTCTGCTTCATTTGGAACAATATTTCTGGCTATACTGTTTTCAGTCTCTTAAAAAACAATGGGTACCCCATTGTTGGTGTTGTGCGCTGGATAGAAACTTTAGCAGGAAGTGCACTGACCAATATTCTACAATATACAGATTCATAGAGTTGATAGGTACATTTTGCTACCCAAAGCAAACCTGCAGTTAAAATCACCTGAAAGAGTCAAATGACTGTAGAAGAACCACTAAAATCTTTGAAACTGAGTCCCATCTGCACCACCAGCTACACAGAACACTGCAGACTTCAGTGCCACCAAGGCACTGGCTTTCTCAAGGTCTTACTCATGCTGTTATCTATGACAGGAAGCGGATCCTTGCATGCAGCCATGCGCACTAGATAGGTTCTGAAATTCTGAGCATTCCCCTGGAACATCACTCTGCTCGGTCTTTAATTCTGCTTTACAAATAGGCCAGTTCCATGGTCTCTTCTCCAATGAGCAAAGCTTAACACGTTAACACCTGTGACATGAGGAGATTCAGGTGGCTAAATACTCATCTCAGTTCCTGCATCGTCCTCCTACCTCATACATTCACCAGATCCTCCCCACCAGCCCCTTTCTCCCTTTCCTCAGCAGAAAGATATCACCATCCCCCCAAAGCAAAAAGACCCCACTGTGCTCTACTTAGCAGAGGAAGGATTCACTCCTTCTCCTCGCCTGCCAACCTCTAGCCACTGGCTCATTTACCACCCTGACTCCCAGCCACTTCAGTGTGCAATCACTATGGCTGCCCCATCTCCCCTTTGTGGTCCTGGCCTGATAGATGGGCAGAGAAGTAGTAGTGGTGTCAGGTTGTATTTATTCGTATTTTAACATCCCCAGTCCCCCACAAAACACTGTCTTCTAATTGTAGCCTAGCCAGTCTGCGTAGCCAATGTTCCCACCACTCTTACCCTGATGCTCCCTCCAAATGTTTGTTGCACCAGCTTGTTTCAAGCGTTTGTACAGCACAGTCGGGGGGCCAGATCCTGACTGAGGCCTCTGGGCACTACTATAATAGACAAACAATAACAGCACAGGCAGGGCACCAGCACAAATTGTCCCCAGGGAAGAGATGGAGTCAAATCTTCTCTAGACAAGAGTCCCAGCCTTTCTGTGCTCCATACTGCTGTGAGCCTCCTAGACTACTAGCAGTAACAACCCCTCAGAAAACAGTCAAATATTTTCATCCAAGGAACTACTCAGATTTTTAACGGTTAAAACTGTATTAAACTAAATGGAAACAGGTTTAAAATCTGAGCGTGTGACTTCATCCCCCACATAGCTTGTATGATAAATGTTGTAATTTGTCTGCATGTCGTTCCTGGAATACTATGATTCCAGGCCATCCTAACTAAAGCCCAAGATACCTTCCAAAAAACTTGGACTTATAAAGAAACAACTTAAAGCGGGGATTTTCTTCCCTGCAGCTGACTTCCATTTCAGCAAACTGATTGGGGGGGAGGTTGCGCGACTTAAGAGTGGGCAATGGGAGGACTTATAACTCATCAGTTCCTACAAGCATCAGCAACTTTGTTGTGAAATGAATGTATACTGAGGCGACTTATAGCGAGGACGCCCTGTATTAGCTTATCTGTCATGACATGTAGTTCAATTTGTACCTGACAAGCCATGTACAGTAAAACTCCAGTTGTCCAGCATCCAGTGGTCCGGCACTCCTGATAATGCAGCACCACCTGGAACCCAGAACAATAGGAGCTGTTCTGCCCCGGACTTCCCCGAGTCAGCCGCTGGTCAGTTTCAGCAGCGGCTGACTTGGGGACGCCTGGAGCAGAGCAGCTGGGGTGCTGCTGGGTTGGTCCCGCAGCACCACCACCCCAATCCCTCCCCCCCCACCCCACCCCAGACCCCTCATAGCCCCCCCCCTTCCAATAGTCCGGCATAGCTGATAATCCGGCACCCCCTGGGTCCTAAAGGTGCCAGATTATTGGAAGTTTACTGTACATAGGTTGACTATTCAGACTGGCAAGACATGCTTTGTAGAGCTTCCTGGCTTTTGGTTTGAAATGATGCTCATGCTAGAACATCAGTGACTTTCAGACACATTTTCTGAAGTGGCCATTGCTCCTGGGCACTTTGGGCTCGGAATACGAACTGTAAAACATCTGGGACCTGATTTCAAGAAACGCTCAGTGCCTAAAGCATGAACTGAAGATAGTGGGATCTGCAACTGCTCAGATTAAAACATTCTGAGTTGGAAACCTAAAATCAGAGCCCACTTTCTGGGAATTTTGCCCCAGATGTTTTTAAATGCACCGTGAATAGTGCAGGCATTTATTTTCAGCACAGCCTGCAGAGTTACAGAACAAAGTTTTATTGCATGCAGTAGTGAAAAACAGGAGACAACAGGAGCCCTATGGACTAGCAATTAGCAGGACGACAACGTGTTTTATTTTAGTGACTGTTATAATTTCACTGTATCACAAATACTTAGATGTGCAAATCCCAGCTCCAAGGAACTACTCTATAAGAGGGATCTACTAGTACCTTGTGTGGCTCAGTAGTGCACAGAGAGTCTACAGTACCCTCCTTATAACCTTAGCCTTGGATCTGTGTAATGGAGTCACGGCCTGAAATGTACTTGCTTTCCTTTCAACCAGGCTCGCCTGAGGAAAGAGACGTGTATAAAAAGGCCATTGCCAAGGCACGTGGAGCAACGCTCACAGAAAGACTCTCTGAAGTACCTAATGAAACCATTAGGAAACCTGAGATTTCAGGGGTATTCAAGCTGGTTGAAACCCCTGTGTTTGGCAAAGATATCCATCTGAACTTAATTCTCACTAACCCGTCCACTGAAAATAAGCCTGTAAAGGTGAACATAAGTGCATCAACTATCCTGTACACAAGGAGAGCAGTGGCAGAGATCTTGCAAGAAGCCGTCTCTGTTGATCTTGGTTCTAAAGAAGGTAACTTCTCATATCATTGGACAATGAACAAACCCATGTTCTTAAACTGACAAATAACTAGTCACACTCAAATAGACAGGAGGAAGATTCACAAAATGTATATCTACGCCAGTCTTTCAGAATTGCCCAAGAACAATATTTGCTGATCCACCCATTACTAGGATGACTATATAGTAAAACAAAGTCTGACATCCATAAAGGAATTACTCTTTGTGGTGGACTAATGGGTAAGAAAAGGGCTGCAAGACTGGGCCGTGTTCTCCCCCTCTCTCTGTCAACAAGAGAATTTAATAGAGGGCGTACTTGCCGTAAAAACAAATTATGGTAGAGGAAAAGTTTCAGCAAAGCTCCATGTCTTCCTAACAAGGTTGGGGTTTATAAAACAAGTTCAAGATATACAGAACTTCTCCATCCTGGAGAGCTGCAGAGGGGAAAGCGATTTCTTTTTCCATACATAGCAGAAAAACTGTAAGGAGTGAGACAATGAGGAAGAGGATTGGGCTACTCTACAAGGGACCTCGTAATAATTGGACCAATCTTTTATTCATGGGTAAAATCTAGAAAAGGATATGGAGGAATAGACCCAATGTCTTGCCCAGCCAGTTGTCAGCGAACTAAGGACAGATATACAATAAAATGTACAGGGCCAAATTCTGCTTTCAGTTTCACCACTATATCCTCTATTGAAGGCAGTAAGATTAGACTGAAGCAAAGTAGAATTCATAGCAGATAGCAGAACTGTCTGCAGGCAAGAGACTTGCAGGAAGCCAAACATCCCTTCTCTATGCCATCCCATGAACACATACAACTGAGATGACTAGAGGCAGAGTCACCTGGGACAGCTGCGAAATTCCTGGAGTCTGATACTTTCCTAATATGTTTGCATTTTAGAGAAACGGATTCCATTAAAGATCTCTTATGCCCAATATGAAAAGTCCCTTACTGATGACAGAAAGATCTTAGCGACTGCCTTGTGTGAAGTCATGCACTCGCAAGAAGTAAAGATATTGGTGGAGAAGACCATCACTTTAGAGACGCCGAACATCTTCATCAAGGTAAAGAGCTGTTTCCCTGCTGCCCAGAAATGGAAATTCTGGGTTCAAGTGTGAAGATTCAGACCTAGTTTCCCAAAAGCGGCTACTGAGTTATTGTTGCCCAGCTTGAAAAACCTTAAGATGTCAAGCTGCAAATGCAAAAATCAGAGGCTACTTTTGAAACTTTGCCTGGTCTCTCCATGTTTATTAGCACTTGCATTTTCTCTTCTGTAGTACAAATGGATCCAAACAAGTCACTTTCAAAGTCACGTGCCATCAGGTCATTTGTGCTGGATTAGTTATAATTTTTTCCGTTTGTACTTTAATTATTGTAAAGTGTTCTAGATATTCTCAAGTGATATCGCCCTGTCCTGAAATACACACTCGTGGCCTGAATTCACACTAACATTAGGATGATTTATACTGTTTTGCATCTTTAATCACTATCAAGAGCATGCTAAGTGCTCAGTGTACTACAGAAAGTCAGGTAGTAAACTAAAGAACATACCAATTTAATAAGAATAAACCTTAATAAGAATAATACCTTTTTCTGCCTAAGCTAAACTGCATAGTTATACCAGCTCAGCTTCACCCCCACCAACCCATTCTCAAGAGAGCATCTGACACTGCCTAAGTATCAGAGGGCTAACGGTGTTATTCTGTATCTGCAAAAACAAGAAGTCCTGTGGCAACTTAAAGATGTATTGGGTATAAGCTTTCATGGGCAAAGACCCACTTCATCAGATGCATCTGACAAAGTGTTTTGTTCTTCCCCAGGAAAGCTTATGCCCAAATCTGTTCGTCTTTAAGGTGCCACGGGGCTCCTGTTTGTTTTTGCTGACACCTCCTAAGCCATTTAATACCTTCACAAGTGAATGTCCTGCAAGGGGGAAGGAGAAGGCATAAGAACTGTGAATCACCGGAAATATTTCTCTTCCCATCCACCCTCCTCCCCCTGTCTCTTCAGATTCCTGCACAGGTTGTGGTGAACAAGCCTGTTACTGCAGAGATCTCGTATGCCAATCCTCTCCCTGAGCCTGTGAAGGACTGTGTGGTGTTCGTAAAACTGATGAATCAAGAGGTCAAGATAGAGTAAGTAAAAGGGGCACTGTCTGTCCACCGCTTTTGATAAGACTGACAGTGAGTTCTGAACGTGGTTTCTTGCACACAAGAATTAGAACACTTAACATTCATCCCATCTGCATTAGGCATTTGAACCTAAGCATTACACTGCAGATTTTAGGAGAGACACCTTCAGAACAATACCCAGATCCGCTGGATCTGTTCTTGGTGTGCCATCAGGTCTTTAGCATGGGACTTTGTGGTTTTCAGCCAGTCAGTTGGGAATCTTTAGTGCAACACACAAATCAGCAGTAAAACTTCTGGAGATTTCTCATTTTTAGGTGATATTTATAATTCTTGACTTTATGTTTTAAAAAGCTAAAGAAGAGCGTGGTGGGACCGGTGGATGAGGCTTCAGTGAGGCACCGGGAGCAGAGCTTTACATTTCTACTTTTAAATATGTGGGCATGACTAATACTGCATTGACGAGTCGAAGACAGCGTAGCCAGAGAAAAGCTTGCCACAGCTTTCTTCTTCCCAGCATAAGCAAGCAGAGTTGCACTGGATTCCCTTAAAATAAATAAATGTTGGGGAATGGGAAGCAGGAGGGGGGGAGATGCCTTTTCAAAACATGTGAGCGGAGTGCCCCATTAATAATGGTTTTGCTGGGCGTTGGTTTTTTGAGCTCTTCCGTGAGGAATCCAGAATCCTGGGTCTAAGAGCATGTTTTACCAGGAGCTGTCTGGCTTATGCTGCCTATGGGAACTATACAAATCCCTTCAATCCATAGGGTTTGGGGAAATGAAATAGCTCATAAGGTCCCTGGAAACCACTGCCTCTCAACTGCCAGTCCAGTTCATGGGAAAGAAAAAACCCACCCCTCTCTCATCTGTCTCTAGCCAATGATGATGATGTTGCCAGAAACGATGTCAGTAATGCAGATGCCTGGCAAATGAGGGGTCTTTAAAATAAGAGCTTTTGCCCATTCTGAGAACGCAAATCAATAATCTCAACTCTGGACAGTTGGCAACTATGCGTTGCATCCCAATGGAGATGTACAACAGCACACCATTTATCAAGCCAGGTGGTAACATGTTTCTTATTGTGTGCTAACCACACAGGAGCTTCGCGCCCCTGCTAACTCTCCAAAAACAAGATTTGCCTTTCAGTGCTCTTAACCCTCTCTTAGGAATGACATTCTGTAGGTGGCTTTGCTTTTCCTTTCAACTTTAGCTTCTTCCTTGGGCCTCTCTGGGATACAGAAGAGGAGAGCTTCCTATCTGAGCCTGAACTCACTGATGTTTCCTTGGTTTTAGTGTGGCAGACATGGCACCCAGGGAGCGATCACAGATTTACTTTGACTTCACACCCCACAGAAGTGGTGAGATCCAGCTGCAGGTGGACTTCTCTTGCGACAAGTTTTCCTTTGTTAAAGGGTTTGAAACCATTAACGTGGCCCTGGATCAGTGATTCATTGAAACAGCTGTAATGTCTCTGATTATGGGGCCAAGTCCCCATTTCTGCGCTAGCATGAAAACACATTTTCCTCTGCACAATCAGAATGATGACTAAGTGCATTTTCATTCTGAATGTCCTTGTGAAGTGCAAGGCAGGAAAATTCTCCCAATAAATAAAGAGGAAAATAGCTCATCTCTCTGCATTACAACAGGATGACTTCTCTTGCTTCCACATTTCCTTGTCTAATCTCAAATATTTCTATTTGTAGTTTGTTTGGGTTTGGGGTGGGGGTTTTTTGGCCCTCTACTCTGGACGCTTGTCCTACAACAAATGCAAAAACATACAGTATAAAAATGAATAGTTCTGTAGCACCTTAGAGATTAACAAATTATATACACACGTACGCACATTTCTACTTTTAAATATATGGGCACTACTAATATTACATTGTATTAGTACACACACACACACAGTAGGCACGTCAAGGGTTAGATGAATATACAATTAACTGATAAGCCTAGGTTTATCAGTTAATCCTGTCAACTACATGCACTCCCTGCCTTGCTGTCTCTATATCAGAGGCAGCAAGTGGGGGAGGAGGGGAGAAGAAACAGCCAGTGCCCATGAGAAGCCAGATTTGAAGCCAGCTGCCAGATGCGTCCTCCCCCCATCTCTCTGACTCCTGCCTCTCACAGAGGCAGTAGCATGGAGGGGGAGGGGGAGGGGGGCAGATGGGAGCCGATACACGTGGAGCCAGTTTTTAAGCTGATTTTCCACATGTACCATCTCCATGGACCTGCCTGTCCCCAGCCCCCACTGATTCCTACAGAGACAGAGGGCTGGAGGAGAGGAGAGAGAGGCAGAAGACAGTGGGCAGGGGTGAGCCGGCTTAAAAGGGTTAAAAAAAGAACTAGATAGATACCTGGAGGTTAGGTCCATCACTGGCCATGAGCAAGGATGGGGAGGAATGGTGTCCCTGCCCTGTTTGTCTGGAGGTGGGTGACGGGAGGGATCCCATGAGGATTACCTGGTGTGATCCCTCCCTCTGGGGCATCTGGCATTGGCCACTTCGGCAGACAGAACACTGGGCTGGGTGGACCGTTTGTCTGACCCAGTGTGGCCGCTCTGATGTTCCAAGTCAACCAAGAAAGCATTTGAGTACAGACAACAAAGATGTCACCGCCATAAACTGAGGAATCTTGTGCATGTCCGTGTTGTGCTCATCACAGAGTAAAGCTGAGGGTTCACATTTGACATCATTTCGCTTTATGGCAGCATTCTGCAACCAACTCCAAGTGGCTTGCAGCGTAGAAACTAAAGTCTTGTATTTACAAGCAAACCCAGTGTTATTTTCCCACCCCCCATTTACATAAAGGGATCAGTGTGATAAAAGCAGCACACGGTACATAAAGGCCCCTAAAACATCAAATGCCTTTTGTTCATACCTTGCATAGTTACTTATGTATTTAAAAGTATTTTTACCCTGCCTCTCCATGTCAAATATTTGAGGTGTGCGCATGCGTGCGCACGTGCGCGCACACACACACACACACCCCGAAACAATGCCAGAAATGGCACCAGGTGAATGTCCTGGGGGAGGGAGTTCCATAGCCTGGGAGCAAAAGCTCAGAGGCCCTGCTCCGCGTACACGTCAGCCTTATCGCCATAAACAGAAACACAGAGCAGGGCCTCTCCAGCTGACCTTAATCCCCAGGCAGCTTCATACAGGAGGAGATGGTCTTTCAGTACCCTGGTACCAACCCATGTAGGGCTTTATAGGTCATAACCAGGACCTTGAATTGTGCCTGGAAACATACCGGAAGCCAGTGCTGCTGCCGGAGTACTGCCATGATGTGCTCCGTAAAGCGAGTCTTAGTAAAAACTTGAGCAGCCTCATTCTGGACCAGTTGACGTTTCTGAAGACTCTAAGGCAGCTCCACATAGAGCACATTGCAGTAATCCAATCGGGATGTGACAAGGGCATGAATCACCGTGGCCAAGTCATGCTTATTCAGGAAGGGCTGCAGCTGGTGGATCAGCTGAAGCTGCCCAAAAGCACTCCCAGCTACTGAAGAAACCTGGTCCTCAAATGCTAGGAAAAGGTCCAGGCCGACTCCCTGTTCCTTGAAGGGGAATGCGACCCCGTCCAGAACAGGTAACGCACCACATGCCCCATCAGATGGCTTCCTGATCCACAGGACCTCCATCTTACCTGGATTCAGATTCAGCTTATTCAACATCATCCGGTCCATCAGCGCCTCCAGACACGGGCTCATATCAGTCGCTAGCACATGCAGATCCAATGTCACAGAGAAATAGAGTTGGGTGTCATCTGCATGTTGATGGCACTGTCTTCCAAATCGCCTTATGACCTCTCCCGGCAGTTTTGTGTAATGTTAAATAGCACAGGGGAAAGATGGGACCTTGTGGGCCCCTGTAGCACAATTATCATGGGGTTGAGCAGCAGCCCCCTAGTTCCACCTTCTGAAAGTATCCCGACAGGTAAGACCAGAACCACTGCAAAATGATATAGAATCATAGGACTGGAAGGGACCTCGAGAGGTCATCGAGTCCAGCCCCCCGCCCTCAAGGCAGGATCAAGCTCTGTCTACACCATCCCTGACAGATGTCTATCTAACCTGTTCTTAAATATCTCCAGAGAGGGAGATTCCACCACCTCCCTTGGCAATTTATTCCAATATTTGACCACCCTGACAGTTAGGAATTTTTTCCTAATGTCCAATCTAAACCTCCCCTGCTGCACTTTAAGCCCATTACTCCTTGTCCTGTCCTCAGAAACCAAGAGGAACAAATTTTCTCCTTCCTCCTTGTGACACCCTTTTAGATATTTGAAAACCGCTATCATGTCCCCCCTTAATCTTCTTTTTTCCAAACTAAACAAGCCCAGTTCATGAAGCCTGGCTTCATAGGTCATGTTCTCTAGACCTTTAATCATTCTTGTTGCTCTTCTCTGTACCCTTTCCAATTTCTCCACATCTTTCTTGAAATGTGGCGCCCAGAACTGGACACAGTACTCCAGCTGAGGCCTAACTAGTGCAGAGTAGAGCGGCAGAATGACTTCACGAGTTTTGCTTACAACACACCTGTTGATACAACCTAGAATCATATTTGCTTTTTTTGCAACAGCATCACACTGTTGACTCATATTCAACTTGTGGTCCACTATGACCCCTAGATCCCTTTCTGCCATGCTCCTTCCTAGACAGTCGCTTCCCATCTTGTATGTATGGAACTGATTGTTCCTTCCTAAGTGGAGCACTTTGCATTTCTCTTTATTAAACCTCATCCTGTTTACCTCTGACCATTTCTCTAACTTGCTAAGGTCATTTTGAATTATGTCCCTATCCTCCAAAGAAGTTGCAACCCCACCCAGTTTGGTATCATCTGCAAACTTAATAAGCGTACTCTCTATCCCAATATCTACATCATTGATGAAGATATTGAACAGTATGGGTCCCAAAACAGACCCTTGAGGAACTCCACTTGTTATCCCTTTCCAGCAGGATTTAGCACCGTTAACAACAACTCTCTGACTACGGTTATCCAGCCAATTATGCACCCACCTTATCGTGGCCCTATCTAAGTTATATTTGCCTAGTTTATCAATAAGAATATCATGCGAGACCGTATCAAATGCCTTACTAAAGTCTAGGTATATGACATCCACCGCTTCTCCCTTATCCACAAGGCTCGTTATCCTATCAAAGAAAGCTATCTGATTAGTTTGGCATGACTTGTTCTTCATAAACCCATGCTGGCTATTCCCTATCACTTTATTACCTTCCAAGTGTTTGCATATGATTTCCTTAATTACCTGCTCCATTATCTTCCCTGGGACAGACGTTAAACTGACTGGTCTGTAGTTTCCTGGGTTGTTCTTATTCCCCTTTTTATAGATGGGCACAATATTTGCCCTTTTCCAGTCTTCTGGAATCTCCCCTGTCTGCCATGATTTTTCAAAGATCATAGCTAAAGGCTCAGATACCTCCTCTATCAGCTCCTTGAGTATCCTGGGATGCATTTCATCAGGACCTGGTGACTTGCTGACATCTAACTTTCCTAAGTGATTTTTAACTTGTTCTTTGTGTATCCTATCATGGTCAATGGTCATGGATACATGGTCAATGGATACATGGTCAATGGTATCAAAAACCACTGATACCAAGAGAATCAATAGGGAGGCACTCGCCCTGTCTACCTCTTGGTGTAGGTAGTCTACCAGGGTGACCAAGATGGGTTCCATTCCAAAACAAGGCCTGAAGCAAGCCTGAAATGGATTCAGATCAATGGTTTCTACCAAGAACGCCTGGAGTTGCAACACCACTGCCCGGCTGAGTACCTTGCCCAGGGAATATTAGCAACAATTATTCAAGTTGCATGGGTCTAAGGAAGGCTTCTTAAGGAACAATTTTACCACCGCCTCTTTCAAGGTGACAAGAACCATACCAGATCTAAAAGAAGCACTAACAACCTCCTAAACCCAACCAGTCACCCCTTCCCAGCTAGATTTAATAAGCCACAAGGGACAGAATTCGAGTAACCTTGGGGTCAGACACACTCCTCCAAAAATCTTGTCTGCATCCGGTCACATGCATGGGAGCAGTTATTTCTTGGGATAGTCCCAAGGTTGGCCACCCAAAACTAGGTACAAACACTCAAATATAGTACTTTGTTGGACTCGGGCCCTGGCCAGAGAGATGGTATCCAAACAGATAGGAATAGCACATAACTGTATAAAACTTGTATCACAAGCCCCACAATGCCATCTGGACACGTCCCATTAGTCACCCCACCTATGCTACAACATACAGTAACGGGGGTTGGGGAAGAACCCACAACACACACACCCCTTCCATGACCTTCATTGTGGGCACGTAGAGGGAAACACAAAAAGGATGCTTACAAGAAATGGAAACTTGGACAGATGATGGGGAGTATAAATATATTGCTCCGACTATTGAGGGTCTCCCATGGAAGGCAGGGCTTTCCGACCTGGCGTGGTTTGCTGAGTCTCGCCCTCGATGGGATTTCCCACCTCTCCATCCAGATGTGGGTGTGACTTGGTGGGGGGGCTGTCTGCTCTCTAACCCGGGGTTCCCCCACGCTGTGATGTGGGATTCCTACTGACTCACCCACATGTGGATTGGCCCGGACACGTAGTCCCAGCCTGGGCAGTTAGCAAAGCTCTTCCCAGGGGAGAGACAAAGGAAGGGAGATGGAGACGAACACCTGACTGGGGGCAGGGCCTGGGAGGGAGGCAGTTTCTGGCTGGAAACATGGAGGGAACAGACTAAGCTGAGTACTGAGGGGGTGATGGACCCCCTAACCCAAGGGGTCCCAGGCTGCCTGGCCTTGACTCTTATAACCATATCACGTCTGTGCTGTGTTGTATCCTGGAGAAGCAATAACCTCCCTCTGTTCTACTGGCTGGTGGAGTCTGTCCGTGCCACTATAGGGGTGCAGGAAGTGGGGGATCACGACGCGCTGCCACACCATTCCACTTAGGTGTGCAAGCACTGCGTGCACTGTTTCC